CCTGCCCATCACCCCAAAACTTCGCCCCCAATACTGTGGACCATTCCGCATTAGCCACATGATTACGCCCATCACCGCCCATCTCCTCCTCCCCGCTGACTGGTATGTCAGCCCATCCTTCCACGTCAGCTTACTTCGCCCCTACATACCGTCCACAAGCCAACTGCCACGTAATTGCCCAGCCAGCATGACACGACCACCGACTGAACCAATCATCACACCTGAGAAAATTCTGAGCCACAGAGTTCGTGACCCTCGAGGAGCCCGAAGGATCGAGTTCCTGATCCGCTGGAAAGACCGTACACCCACCGAAGACAACTGGGTTCCCCTGGACAGAGTCAAAAACCACCCTCTCCTCACCGAGTATCTGCACAGCCAAAACTTCAGAGATGTACACGCGCTTTCGTAAGGAAGACCTCCTTAGGGGGGGTGGGGGTAGTGTAAGGAAAATTCCTTTCCCTTACTTCCCGTCCCCGCTCAGCGCGTACACCACTATAGCACCACAGTCAGCACCGTTACCATTCGCAACCCTCGCATCGACAATTCTCCCGCCACTTTAGCACGTTGCACCCAGACCTCACGGCTCGGCGGGTACCCCGCGCTCCGGGCCTCCGCTTCGACATTTCCCCAAACCTTAGTCCCAGGCACGTCGCGCGACAACCACAGTCCATTACCGTTACCACTGTAGTTTCGCTATATATTCTTCGCTCATGCCTTCGCTCAAAGAACTCTTGCTTCGATAGTGCAATTCTCGCTCGCTCACTCAATTGCACTCGTAACACATATGCATTGTTATAAAAAGTAGTAACCACAACTAGAGCACAAAATGCATTGGTGGTTTACATTCAGTTTGAGTGAATAGAGATAAGGTGTCACATTACATTTCCAAGTTGCGGCTACCGTACTCAATAATAAGCGATCCCTCAGAGAGTTTAGGATACACCATTTCCTATACCATAAGTTACGGAGAGGTTTGTGTACGATATATTAAGGCATTCTTGCGACTGCAAATCAAAATCGCATAATCTCGTACAAAAAATGAATAACCGGACGTCAAAACGGCACCACGTATCGTGACACTTGTTTAGGCATTCGATGGTCTGAAACTATGCAAGGATAGGCTAGTGCGTAACATGTTACCGTTTCAATGCTTGGATGTTTTTTTTAGCACTATTTCTTCACACATCCAGGTAGTACGTCATCCCAAATACACAGCACGCGACGCTTGTGTGTGCGTTTGCTGGCCTGAATGTGTGCAAGGATAGGCCTGTGCACAACATGTCATCTTTTCAACGTTTGGATGTTGCTTTTAGCACTGTATATTCACACATGTAGTATGTCCTATTCCCTTGCCACGGAATTTGGTTTGGGCTCGTTCGCCCAACTACACTGCACGTGATGCTTGTTTGTGCGTTTGCTGGCCTGAATGTGTGCAAGGATAGGCCTGTGCGCAACATGTCATCGTTTCAGCATTTGGATGTTATTTTTAGCACTATTTCTTCACACATTCAGGTATTACATCCTATTCCCTTGCCATGAGAACTCGTTTGACCTCCTTCGCCAAACTACGCTGCATGTGACGCTTGTTTGTAGTAGTAGTAATAGTAGTAGTAATAATAATAGTAGTAGTAGTAGTAGTAGAAGTAGTAGTAGTAGTAGTAGTAGTAGTAGTAGTAGTAGTAGTAGTAGTAGTAGTAGTAGAACTAGTAGTAGTAGTAGTAGTGGTGGTGGTGGTGGTGGTGGTAGTAGTAGTAGTAGTAGTAGTAGTAGTAGTAGTAGTAGTAGTAGTAGTAGTAGTAGTAGTAGTAGTAGTAGTAGTAGTAGGGGTAGTAGTAGTAGTAGTAGTAGTAGTAGTAGTAGTAGTAGTAGTAGTAGTAGTAGTAGTAGTAGTAGTAGTAGTAGTAGTAGTAGCACTAGTAATACAAGTAGTAGGAGTAGTAGTAGTAGTAATAGTAGTTGTCGTAGTAGTAGTAGTAGTAGTAGTAGTAGTAGTAGTAGTAGTAGTAGTAGTAGTAGTAGTAGTAGTAGTAGTAGTAGTAGTAGTACTAGTAGTAGTAGTTGTTGTAGTAGTAGTAGTAGGAGTAGTAGTAGTAGAAGTAGTAGTAGTAGTAGTAGTAGTAGTAGTAGTAGTAGTACTAGTAGTAGTAGTAGTAGTAGTAGTAGTAGTAGTAATAGTAGTAGTAGTAGTAGTAGTAGTAGTAGTAGTAGTAGTAGTAGTAGTAGTAGTAGTAGTAGTAGTAGTAGTAGCACTAGTAATACTAGTAGTAGGAGTAGTAGTAGTAGTAAGTAGTTAGTAGTAGTAGTAGTAGTAGTATATCGTAGTTAGTAGTAGTAGTAGTAGTAGTAGTAGTAGTAGTAGTAGTATAGTAGTAGTAGTAGTAGTAGTAGTAGTAGTAGTAGTAGTAGTAGTAGTAGCACTAGTAATACTAGTAGTAGTAGTAGTAGTAATAGTAGTTGTCGAGTAGTAGTAGTAGTAGTAGTAGTAGTAGTAGTAGTAGTAGTAGTAGTAGTAGTAGTAGTAGGTAGTAGTAGTAGAGTAGTAGTAGTAGTAGTAGAAGTAGTAGTAGTAGTAGTAGGGGAACTGGAGTATAGAACTGGAGGGGAACGAGGCGCCTCTCCCAAGTCGGTCAGCACGTAGGTGAGCCAGCTTAACTCCTGTGCAGCTATGGCTTTGGCGTAGATCTCAGCCTCACAACTGGAGCTGAGAACAGAAGACGAGCGGGTAGATAACCACGATACAGAGCCAGAACCAAGGCTGAAGGTGTAACCCTGTGACAACCACTGCGTAGCCAAGTCGTCAACCCAAGAAGCGTCTGCGTGAACAGTACGGACAACTACTGCACAGGTAGCGCAACACCCTCTTAGCTGCATCCATGTGCTCTGGTCGGTGTCTCCCAGGAGCAACATAGCGTGCCAGGATGCTAAGAGGGTATGCCAAGTCAGGTTGAGTGCAGGTCATTAGGTACATGAGGCAGCCTACAAGCTCTGGGTACGGGCCACTCGGCTCTACGGACTCATCTGAAGGCAGAGCTGAGAGCGAGTGGCGAGTAGACAGAAAAGTGGCCTGAGGCGAGGAGTACGTAAAGTTGAAGCGCTGAAGGACCTGCTGCATCATGTGTGACTGAGTCAAGATAATGGTGCGCCGTGCTCTGTCCCGGGTGATCTGCAAGCCAAGATATTTGCGCAGCTCACCTAGGTCTATGCACGTGTGTCTCTTATGCAGCTCCGACTTCACGTGGGCCAGTCCAGCAGTCAAGGGGGAGGGACCCGCGCGTCGTCGCGACGAGCAGGGACGGCGCCTAGGGGGCGCCGCGACAAGCAGGGACGACGCCCAGTGGGCGTCGCAACAAGCAGGGGCGACGCCCAGAGGGCGCCGCGACGAGCAGGGGCGACGCCGCACAGGTCCCGCAGGGGCATCGCGACGAGCAGGAGCGGCGCCGCGCGGGTCCCGCAAGGGCGTCGCGACGAGCAGGGGCGACGCCCGGGTCCCTCAGGGGCGTCGCGGGGACCAGGGGCGGCGTCGCGGGGTCTAGGAGTGGCGTCGTAGGGTCCAAAGGCGGCGTCGCGGGGTCCAGGGGCGGCGTCGTGAAGTCCAGGGGCGGCGCCGCGGGGTCCAGAGGCGGCGTCACGGGTGCAAGGCAGGCCCGCGAGCGGTCTGCAGGGTAGGGCGACAGGCAGGCGCTCGAGGGCTCGGATAGGGCAGGCGCTCGAGGGCGCGGGTAGGCAAGCGCAAGGCGCGTGACGGGGCAGGCAGGCACGGCAGTGCGCTTTGGGCAGGGCAGAAAAAAAAAGTCCGTGGTGGTGGGCCCTAAAAAAACGTTCCCATTAGGGAACCTGCTCTGAAACCATGTTAAAGCTAGAACGAAGAATGATGAGTAGAAAGGGAACAGTACAAAGTTTGTATAGGCAAAACCTATCAGGGCTGTACCCCATGAGAAGTGCCCCTCTATAGCGTATTGTATAGTTCTGACAGCAAATGCATTCGCTTGCCATGAAGGCATTTTTCTTGCGTCCCCGCCTTCTCTCGTTCCTTCTCTGAAATTTCTCGTTCCCGTTCTTCCTTCCACTTTTCCTGTGTCCCCGTTTTCCCGCGTCCCTATTTCCCAATCCCCCTCACTCCTAGTTGCGTTCGCAAAGAGCACTGGCGTGGCGCCGTCGATCACGTGCAGCTAGCGCGCGCACGCGCTTGCTTGCTACCGTGCTCCTTGCGCGCGCTCGCTCGCTACGGTGGCTTCAGCAGTGGCAGTCGCTAGTGGCGGCGGACGAGCTGGGAACGTTGCGGACCGTTCGGGTAGCGCCGGGCGCACCTAGGTTCGATTGGCGCTGGTTCAATTCGATGTGAGATGGGGGCTAGCGCGAAGGCATGAGAATGGGAGGAGGGGAGGAAAGGGGGGGAGGGAGGAAAGAGAGGGGAGGGGAAGAAAAGGGAGGGGATGTTCCACATTACTCATCGAAATGCGTTACACCCTCTCCACCTTCCCTGTCTATGCTTGCTGTACCCCTTACACCCTCTCCCCATTCCTCTGTCATTTCCGTTCTCTCTGCTCTCCCAACCTACAGGTCTTTCCTCACCAATAGAGGTCTTTTGTCAAGCCCTGCATATGCCAAATGTCCAGCCTTTTTGAGCGTGGGGCAGCCTGGCTGATTTGAAAATACCGATTTGAAGATTTTCATTATTTGGCTCCATCCATAGTATGGATAATAAGGTTGCAATGCAACATTAGGCTTTTTTTCTCATTGTAACATGTGTTTAGTGCAGTAGGCGTAAATTGGGTGCTGTGTGTTTTATGTCAAACATTATATGTGTTGCTAATGTGTAGGCTACAGTGGGTTAGCCTTTAGGGGTTACAATACTCTAGGGTTTCATACTTGTACTCTCAATCTTCCTAGTGCAATCACTTCTCTCATTTTGACATGGTATTACGAGCCTAGGTTAGGAACCTAGGACCGCTTGTTCCTAAGGGCCCACCCTTCCGCTAGTAGCGCCCTCGAGCACCCTCTCACCGTCGCGCCCTTGTGCGCCTCTCTCTCTCTCTCTCTCTCTCTCTCTCTCTCTCTCTCTCTCTCTCTCTCTCTCTCTCTCTCTCTCTCTCTCTCTCTCTCACGCTGCCCGTGCGCAGCTCGCTAGCCGCCCGCGCGCGGCCTCTTTTTTTTCTAGCGCCCGCCCGTCGACCGGCCCGGCTGGCCTTCAAGCACGATGCAGCCCCGCCTGTAGGCAGCCGCGTCGCTTTCTTAGGCCGCTGCCCACGCGTGACTGCAGCCCATGCAAGACCGCTCGCCCCTAGGACGGCGCTCGACCCACCGCTGCTCGCCCGCAGGTCGCAGTCCGCGTGCAATGGCGATCGCGCGTCGGCTGCTGCAGCTCGCGCTTAGCTGCAGCATGAACCCAGCCGCGGCCTGAGCGCAGCTGCACCCTAGGCAACGCCACGCACCGTGCATAGGCCGGCCGTCGCGCCGCCCTACTTGCCTGAGCCGCGCCGCCCGAGTCGCGCCGCCCGAGCCGCGCCGCCCTGAGAGAGCCGCGACGCCCCATCTGCAGCACCTGTTGTTCTTGTTCCTGCTGTTACAGATGTTCTTCTCACTACAGCTGCTACTGCTACTGCTCTTACTGCTACTACAGCTGCTGCTACTGCTGCTACTGCCACTATGGCCTCTCCCACATTTCTCTCTTTCGATGCTGAGGGCCGTCCGCTCCAGTTTGAAGCTTGGCTCAACGATCTGCACCTGTTCCTCCAGATCACCGCTAAGGACAATGTCTCGCTGTATGACCACGCGTCCGGAACAGCTCTAGTACCTGCTGACACTGCTGACAGTAAAGCTTGCCCCCAGTGGCAGACTCATGACGCCCACGCTCGCCTAGCCATTCGCAGCCACCTGCCGTTAGATGAGCGCGCACACTTCGGCCAGCACAAGACTGCTAAGGCACTGTATGATGCAGTCGTCGCTCGCTACTCCTCGCCTGCCTCTGCTACGATAGGTCGTCTCTCGCTGCCTTATCTTTTCCCCGATCTCGCCGCCTTTCCCACAGTCGCTGACCTCATTACCCACCTTCGCACCAGTAACACTCGCTACCGCGCCGCCCTTCCTGCAGAGTTCCTCGCTAAGAACCCCCCCCCCCCCCCCCCGATGTACCTCGTTCTCTACCACCTAGTCACCCGTCTCCCTGACTCTCTTCGCGCAGTTAGGGACACCTTTCTCGCTCTCTGCCCCACCAAGCTCACCATTGACCTGATCGAGAAGCATCTGCTTGCTGCTGAGGCTAGCATAGTTGCTGTAGGTGCCTCTCGTGGCGACCCCTGCACGCCCTTCTTTGAAGGGTGTTCCCCTCCCCCCCTTCTCCCCTCGGTTGCCTCTGCTGCCGCTGTCGACTTCCTTGGTGCTGAGGAAGTCGGGGCTGCGTCTGCTCCTAGCTGGAGGCGCAAGGGCAGCAAGGGCAAAGGGGGCAAGGGTGGTGGTGGTGCCAGCGGGGGGGGGGGGGGGGGGGGTGGAGGTGGAGGTGGAGGCGGAAGGGGCGGTGGGGGTGGCGGCGGTGGCGAGGGTGGTGGCGGGGCTGGGGGGGTCGGTGGCAGCGGCGGGGGTGGTGGCGGCAATGGTGGTGGAGGAGGCCAGAGTGGAGGCGGTGGTGGTGGCGGCGGTGGGCGTGGTGGCGGCTGCACGGGTGGTGGTCGGGGTGGACCAGCGTAGCGTGGGGGTTTGGGTGGTGTTCAGCGCCAGCAGCAGCGTCTCGGAGAGACCCCGTCGTCCCAGCAGCTTCGTGAGTGGTACTCCCAGCATGGGGGGTTTGGGGGTGGAGGTACCTGCACGTATGTCATCCGCACAGGTGACCGCGCTGGTCAGACGTGTGGGAGGTTCCACACACCGCAACGCTGCTTCTTCCGTCTCGACGACGCCTGGCGTGCACAGTTCCCTGAGGCCTCTGAGCTGCCCCGCTGGGCTGATCGGCTTAAAAAGAACATAGATGTCTTTGCACTTGACTTTGATGTTATCCTTGGAGCCATGTATGCATTGACTATTAGTGTTGAGGGTGACTGTTACTTGTGTGTGCCACCAGACCCAGGCATTGCAACCAGTGAGGCTGCCGCTCTAGATGCTAGTGCGTCTGCTGCCCCAGGTCCTGGTGAGGCTGCTGCTCTAGGTGCAGGTGTGTCTGCTACTTCAGGTGCTTGTGAGTCTGCGCCCTCAGGTGCTGCGTCTACTGTGGCACTCCACACCTTCACACTGGACTCAGGTGCTTCCCACTGTTTCTTTCACGACCGCACTGCCCTAGAGCAGCTCCCTAGACCGGTTGCTGTCTCCCTGGCTGACCCCTCCGGGGGTCTGGTCCTTGCGACCTCTACCACTGCCCTCCCTTGTCCTGCTGTCCCGCCCGGCACACTGTCGGGCCTTTACCTCCCCTCGCTCTCTATGAACTTGGTGGCGGGTTCTGCGCTCCAGGACGCGGGTGTTCACCAGTTCACCCCTGCCTACGAGCGTGTGACGCACTGCACGTGTGCCCAGACGGGTCGTCACCTGGCTACCTTCACTCGGCAGCCGGGGTCGGACTTGTACGCACTGACCACTGAGTCCCCTCAGGTAGCAGCGTCTGCGTCAGGTCAGTTGTCCGCCCCCTGCTCGTGTCGCACCCTGTCGCACCGGACGGTCCTCTGGCACCACCGCCTTGGTCACCCTTCGATGCAGCGCCTTCGTGGCATGCACTATCGTTTCCTTGTCTCTGGTCTCCCCAGGTCACTACCTCCCCTGCCACCGTCCCCGGCCCCTCCTTGCCTTCCGTATGTCGAGGGGTGGCAGTGTGCCACCCCTCACTCCTCTGAGTTTCCCCCGACAGAGGCTCCTCTGCAGACCCTTCACATGGACGTGTGGGGCCCATCCCGCGTCCATGGACAGGGAGGAGAGCGCTACTTCCTGCTGGTAGTGGACGACTACATGCGTTACACCACGGTCTTCCCCTTGCGCACCAAGGGAGAGGTCCCTGCTGTCTTGATCCCTTGGATCCGCGCTACCCGTCTCCAGCTGGAGAGTCGCTTTTGCACGGACCTTCCCGTCCTGCGACTGCACTCTGACAGAGGTGGTGAGTTTTCCTCCGGCCTCTTGGAGACCTTTTGTCAGGGGGAGGGCATTCGCTAGACGTTCACGCTTCCGGCCTCTCCGCAGCAGAATGGGGTTGCTGAGCGCCACATTGCCTTGGTCATGGAGGTCGCTCGTACCTCCTTGGTCCATGCGGCTGCCCCCCATTTTCTATGGCCGTTTGCGGTCCGGTACGCCGCGCATCAGCTCAACCTCTAGCCCCGTGTCTCCGTTCCAGAGACCTCGCTGACACTGTGTTGGACGGGAGAGGTTGGCGATGCATCTGTGTTCCGGGTCTGGGGATCTCGTGCCTATTTCCGCGATACGTCCGCAGACAAGCTCTCCTCCCGCACCCTTCCTTGTGTCTTCCTGGGCTTTGTTCCTGACGCGCGTGGCTAGCAGTTTTACCACCCCACCACGCGCCGTGTCTTCCCCTCTCAGGACGTCACGTTTGACGAGTCGGTCCCCTTCTACCGTCTCTTCCCCTACCGCACTGCCCCGCTCCCCCCCCCCCCGCCGCTCTTCCTCACGCCAGGTGCTGCTTTGGTAGACCCCCTGCCTCCCCAGGGTCCTGCTCCCTCAGGTGTTTCCCACGTAGACCCGGTCGAGCCTGTCAAGGTAGCTGTCGACTCTGGTCCTGCGCGAGGTACTGAGCGTGCTGAGCCTGGCGTGCTGAGCCTGGTGGTGCTGGGTCTAGGGGTGCTGAGCCTGGGGGTGCGGAGACTGGGGGTGCTGAGCCTAGGGGTACTGTGACTGGGGGTGCTGAGCCTGGAGATCCTGAGCCTGGGGGTGCTACGCCTGGGGGCGCTTTCTCTTCCCAGCAGCTGCGTAAGTGGTATTCTCGGTACTGTCGCAGCCGTCGTGGTACTGTGGGCGCTGGAGGTGCTGCTGGAGCTGGAGCTAAGGCCGCTGGGCCTATTGGAGCCACTGGAGGTGCTTGTTGTACTGGGACTGGTGGTGCTGCAGGGGCTAGAGCTGGAGGGGCTGACACTCGTCCTCCTGCTGGTGCTGGAGCCGACGGTGCGGCTGGAGCTGGTGCTATTGGGGGTCCTAGAGTTGGCGCTACTGGAGCTGCTGGTGGTGCTGCAGGAGCTGGAGCTACTGGTGGAGGTTCTGATGCTATCTCTGCTGGTTCTTGGGGCACTTAATGGCCGTGGTCGTACTTCATTCCGCTCCTTCAGCAGGTTCTTGGTCAGCCACCTCCTCCTTGTCCTGCTCCCTCCTTAGGATGTCCTCTGCCTGTCCAGTCACAGTTACAGCCTACCTCACCACTCCCTGGTCCTTCTCCCTACACTTGTCCGACAGGAAGTCTTACGGAGCATCGTGAGCCTGAGTCTCGTCCTGTGTCGCCTGAGTCTCGTCCTGCGTCACCTGTTTGTGCTGCTCGCACTGGTCGTCGTGTCCCACGTTAGCGTCCTCCTGCTGTCTTGGGCACTCACCAGATGACGCTTGGTCCTTCCACTGCTCCACAGCATGTCCCTCTGCCTTCTCCTCCTGCGTCCTCCCTTCCTGCCCTAGCTGACCCGGAGTCTGACTCTCTTCGTGCTGCTAGTCCTACTGTCACGCGTCTCCTGGCCACTGCTGTCATTGACCCTTCCTTTGAGTCAGCTGCTGCATCTGCCTTAGTTGCTTAGCTTGTCGAATTTGCTGCTCACTGTCGTCTAGACTACACTGCGAGTCTTGTTGCTGAGTCTGAGTGAGTCTGTCCTCCGTCCGTCGGAGGTGAGTGTGCTCTTGGCACGGATGTCTTTGAGGACAGGCAAGAGGAGTTTGAGTGCTTTGCCGCTGCTGTACCCCATCTCGTGTCCATGCTGATTGCACCTAAGGGAGACCCGGATGCACCAGACATCCCCACCCCGCGCTCTTACGCTGAGGCGATCGCGGGTGAGTACTCCTCTCAGTGGCAGACAGCCATGGACGCAGAGATGGCATCCTGGAAGTCCACTGGCACTTACGTCGACGAGGTTCCCCCTCCTAGGGCGAACATCGTAAGTGGCATGTGGATTTTCAGGGTGAAGCGGCCGCTATGTTCTCCGCTTGTCTTCAAGGCTCGTTACGTTGCTTGAGGCTTCAGTCAGCGAGAGGGAGTTGACTTCTTCCAGACCTTCTCCCCCACCCCAAAGATGACCACTCTTCGGGTGCTACTGCACGTTGCCCCTCAGCGTGACTACGAGCTTCACTCTCTTGACTTCAGCACAGCTTTCTTGCAGGGCAGCCTGCACGAGGAGATCTGGCTGCACCGCCGACCTGGCTTCACTTGGTCGTTTCCTCCTGGTACCCAGTGGAGCCTCCGGCGGCCGGTCTACGGTCTCCGCCAAGCGCCTCGTGAGTGGCACGACACATTGAGGACTACACTTGCGGCTCTTGGGTTCGCG